TAAAAAAAGTAACAACGTTAAAAAAATAACGTACGTTTTTTTAAAACACGTGATAACGAAATATAAAATTCCCGAACGGATAATTACGGATAAAAATAAGCTATTTATTAGCAAATTTTGGAAAAATTTAATTGCATTTCTCGAAATAAAACATCCGTTATTCATAATTTATTACCTTTAAATAAATAAATAAATAAAACGAATAAATTAAATTATAAAGCAATATTTATATTATTATATTAATTATAAATAAAACGATTGGGTATAATTATTTTTTATAATTTAATTTGCGTATAACAATTTTTATCACGAAATTATTAAAATTACGCCATTTTACGCTAATTATAAATATACGTTAATAGCGTATTATAAATTTAGGGCCGGGCAGCACGTTTTAATGGTTAAGTTATAAATAAAAAAATTCATTTAATTATATAAGCATTTCTAAGGCGAATTGGAAAAAATGCGCCAATATATAACCATTTAAACTAATAAAAAAAATTAAAAAACCGATTTTTAAAAAGGGGGATAACGTTTATTTGGTACGAAATAACGTTAAAATAAAACAATTAAATGATAAACTGGATTATAAAAAATTCGGACCGTTTAAAATTAAAAAAATAATTCCGCCGGTTAATTATAAATTTTAATTACCGTTAATTATAAAAATCCATAATAATTTTCACGTTTTTTTATTAAAATTACCACCATTTGGGTCGAAAAGTACGGAATTAATGAAAATCGATCCTAATTAGAAATAAAAAATTAAAGTTATCCTTAATAATAAAATATATTACCGTAAACGGTAATATTTGGTTAAATGGGCAGGATAGGGCTATAAATATAATACGTGAAAAAAAAGACGAATTTTGGGAATTGCTAAAAGGTTTTACGAGAATACCAATAAAAACGATTATAAAAGGGTTAGTAAAAAGCAAAAACGTGCTTTTCATTTCCCAATTTCACCCGGAGATTCGGAAATGGAAAATTAAATCGCATTAGGATTCGAACCCAGAATTTCTCGTTTAAAAAGCGAATATGTTACCGTTATGCTATACGATTTATGGATATCGTTAAAAATTTCGTATTATACCTGGTTAAAAAAAAACAAATAAATTAAGGTTTAAATTAACCTTAAGCTCGCTTTAATCAAGGGAAAATAAAAGGAAATCGGGGGCTGGCAGAACGGAGGATACGGCAGGGGTTTGCGCGGCCGCCTGCTCGGTTTCCTCCCGTTTTACCCGCTTTAGCTTTTTATATTATCCAAACCACGACGAATTATCCGAGCGTATTTTTTTCGCCAGGATTTTTTCTATTTGCGAAAACGTTCACGTTTATCTTTTAACCGACGAATTTTATCGGAAACGGAATTCATTTTATCGCGGAATTTGAAAAATTAAATAGCCGTATGCAAAAGTTATATTTTAAAAGGGCCTAACACGTCGTAACCCATTTAGTTAGAACGAACGCACTTCAAATAATAAAACGAGTCGAAAAAAAAAGCTTAACATATAACTAGGCCCCGAAATTCGCAATTCGAGCAAAAAAGCATTTTAACCCTAAATAAAATAAAAAATTCCAGTATATTATTATAACGAACCGTAAAAAAACAAAAAATAAAAGGACGTTTTCGCACCCGATTAAACATTTTTTTTTAAAAAAAATAGGAAAAAATAAAAATATAAGGTGAAAAAAGGGAAAAAAGATTTATTATGGATAAAAAAAGAATGGCCAAAAAGGGTTGGCTTAAAAAAGGAGACTTGGTATTACGACCGTATATTAAAGGAGTAAGGGTTAAAAGGATTAGTTTAAAAGCCAGACGGGCAAATTTTATACCCCGCATTTTGGGAGTTACGTGATTTAGTTACGTGATTAAGATAAACGATACGTAAAAAACGGAGCGTATTATTAAAAATACCGCGCTCCCGCGATATTTCCGTAAATAAACGTATCGGACGTAACACCACCTTTAAAAAGGAAAGGAAACAGGTATAAAAAAAGGAATGCTTTGCTATTATTAGTGTAAATTTTAATTAAAGCTCCGGTATTAATCAATTTAAATTAGCTTTAAAGCATCCTTTTAAAAATTGAGATCGTATTAATATCTGTGCCGCAAGCACGGGCATTTTGGTGCTCGTGCCGTTTAACGTTTGCATTATGCAAGCTTTAAACGCGCCCGTAACGGCGGCAGGGCGTTTTTACGTGGCCGTTTTACGCCGGTTTTAAAAAGCTAAAATATATGGAAAATTATAACCATAAAGCAATAATAAAACCATATTTTCTGCCTTTTTTTTATTTTTTCTGGATCTGGTGGTTTTTTTATTTCTTTTCCGAATTTTCGGAATTTTACAAGGTTTAATTTGTTTCGTTATCCGAGAAATAATCCGCGTATTATTTTTTAAATTTTTGGGCCGTTTATAAATTAATTTTAAACATTATTAACGATTACGTTTCTAATTTCGGGGTTTTAATTATTTTTATTAATAATTAAACGATTATATTTTAATATGCCGTTATAATTTATATTATAACGGTTTGTTTTATTTCGTCGGTTTTTTTATCCGCCAATTTTTCATTTTTTTTTACCCAGCCGATTAATTTTTTAATTAGTTAAATTTTATTTTTAACCGTGGCGGAAGCCCGATGAAGTTTTTTTTTTTGGCATAAAAATCGTCCCGTTTTTCGGCGGAAAAAAAAAATTATCGGCCCGGTTAAGCGCGGCGAAAGGTTAGGTATATCCAGCACCATTTTTTCCGGAGCGACGCTTTAGGGCCCCTCCGGTATTTTAAACCGGGGGGGGGGGGGGGCCTTTTTTTTTGCTCGGGCGTTTAAAATTCGGGCAATATTTTTAATTAGGGGCGGGAAAACGGGGGTATTATTAAAAAAACAGGCGCGGTTTTATTTTCGTTAATTTTATCTTTTTTAAAAAGTTTAACGGTGGATGCCGTTTTATTTTAATTAATAAATTTAATAATAATTATTATTTTTCGCTCGTTATTAATTGATTATTTTCGGTTAAATTTAACGGTAATTATCGTTTTATTTTTATTATTGGTTAATTTTTTTAGGGTTAATTTGCCAATTTTATTGTTAAATTTTAACGGCGTTATTATTCGAAAAGTTAAAAAAAAAACGATTTCCCATCCCAATTTTGCCCCAAAACGCTTGTTATAAACGTTTATTTTATTTTATACCATAAAATTTTTTTATTTTTTTTAAAAAAAAATTATAATAATATTAAAGTTTTTTTAACGATTTATAAAATTGTTATTATAATTTTGAAACGCGCGGCGATTTTCCCGATTTGCTTTTTATGCAATTTTTTAAATTGCTTTTTAATAACGTTATAAATATTTATTTTGGCGGAAATGGTTATTATTATATTGGGTCGCGTTTTAATTAAACCATTTTTAAAATTTTACCGCGATATTTTTTTTTAATTTTTAATTAATTATAAAAAGTAAAAAAGATTTTTTAAAAAAAAAGTTGGGCATTTTTTTAAAATTAAAATTAAAATTATATTAATGTTTATATTATAAGCACGGGCATTTTGGTATTCGTGCCGTTTAACATTTATATTATGCAAATTTTAAACGCGCTTATAACGGCGGTAAAACGTTTTTATATAACCATTTTATACTAATTTTAAAAGGTTAAAATATATAAAAAATTATAATTATAAAATAATAATAAAATTATATTTTTTGCCTTTTTTTATTTTTTTTTTCAAATTTTTAAAATTTTATAAAATTTAATTTATTTTATTATTCGAAAAATAATCCGCGTATTATTTTTTAAATTTTTAAATTGTTTATAAATTAATTTTAAATATTATTAACAATCGCGTTCCTAATTTCAGGATTTTAATTATTTTTATTAATAATTAAACGATTATATTTTAATATATTATTATAATTTATATTATAACAGTTTATTTTATTTCGTTAATTTTTTTATTTACCGATTTTTTATTTTTTTTTATTTAGCCGATTAATTTTTCGGTTAGTTAAATTTTATTTTTAACCGTAATATAAGCCCGGTAAAATTTTTTTTAGTATAAAAATTGTCCCGTTTTTCGGCGGAAAGAAAAAAATTACCGGCCCGGTTAGGCGCGACGGGGGGCTAAATATATTTAATATTATTTTTTTCGGAGCAACGTTTCGGGGCTTTTCCGGTATTTTAAACCAAAAAGGGGGCCTTTTTTTTTTATTTAGGCGTTTAAAATTCGGGCGGTATTTTTAATTAAAGGCAAAAAAGCGAAAATGTTATTAAAAAAATAAGCGTGGTTTTATTTTCGTTAATTTTATTTTTTTTAAAAAGTTTAACGATAAATGCCGTTTTATTTTGGTTAATAAATTTGGTAATAATTATTATTTTTCGTTTATTATTAATTGGTTATTTTCGGTTAAATTTAACGATAATTATCGTTTTATTTTTATTATTAGTTAATTTTTTTAAAATTAATTTGTTAATTTTATTATTAAATTTTAATAATATCGTTATTTGAAAAATTAAAGAAAAAAACGGCTCCCCGTTTCAATTTTGCCTTAAAATGCTCGTTATAAATATTTATTTTATTTTATATTATAAAATTTTTTTTATTTTTTTTTTAAAAAGGAAATTATAATAATATTAAAATTTTTTTAACGGCCCGTAAAACCGTTATTACAATTTCGAAACGCGCGGCGGTTTCCTTAATTTGCTTTTTATATAATTTTTCGAATTATTTTTTAATAACGTTATAAACGTTTATTTTAACGAAAATGATCGTTATTATATTGGGTTATATTTTAATTAAACCATTTTTAAAATTTTATCGCGACGTTTTTTTTAACTTTTAATTAATTATAAAAAATAAAAAAAATTTTAAAAAAAAGTTAGGCATTTTTTTAAAAAATTAAAATTAAAATCGTATTAATATTTATGTTACAAATACGGGCATTTTGATATTTGTACCATTTAACGTTTATATTATATAAATTTTAAACGCGCCCGTAATAACGGTAGGGCGTTTTTATATAACCGTTTTACGCCGGTTTTAAAAGGTTAAAATATATGGAAAATTATAATTATAAAATAATAATAAAATTATATTTTTTATTTTTTTTATTTTTTTTAAATTTAATAATTTTTTATTTTTTTTCGAATTTTTAAAATTTTATAAAATTTAATTTATTTATTATCCGAAAAATAATCCGCGTATTATTTTTAAATTTTAAACCGTTTATAAATTAATTTTAAATATTATTAATAATCGCGCTCCTAATTTTAAAATTTTAATTATTTTTATTAATAATTAAACGGTTATATTTTAATATATTATTATAATTTATATTATAACGGCCTATTTTATTTTATTAATTTTTTATTCGCTAATTTTTTATTTTTTTTATTTAATTAATTAATTTTTCGGTTAATTAAATTTTATTTTTAACCGTGACGTAAGCCCGATAAAATTTTTTTTTTGGTATAAAAATTATCCCGTTTTTCGGCGGAAAAAGGAAAATTACCGGCCCGGTTAAACGCGGCAAAAAGCTAGGTGTATTTAGTATTATTTTTTCCGGAACGACGTTTCGGGGCCCCTTTAGTATTTTAAACCGGGGGGGGGGGGGCTTTTCCTTTTTATTCGGGCGTTTAAAATTTGGGCGGTATTTTCGATTAAAAGCGGAAAAACGGGGGTATTATTAAAAAAACGGGCGCGATTTTATTTTCGTTAATTTTATTTTTTTTAAAAAATTTAATAATAAATACCGTTTTACCCTGGCTGATAAATTTAATAATAATTGTTATTTTTCGTCCGTTATTAGTTGGTTATTTTCGGTTAGGTTTAATGGTGGTTATCGTTTTACTTTTGCTGTTAGTTAATTTTTTTAAAGCTAATTTGTTAATTTTATCGTTAAATTTTAACGGCGTCGCTGCCCGAAAAATTAAAAAAAAAACGGCTCCTCGTTTTAATTCCGCCCCAAAACGTTCGTTATAAATATCCATTTTATTTTATACCATAAAATTTTTCCTGCTTTTTTTTGGGGGAAAAATTATAACGGTATTAAAGTTTTTTTAAC